GGCCTCAGGTGCTGGGAGGAACCGAGATGGGCTCCTTTGTGACGCTGGACCTTCAGTCTCTCATGAAGCTTCTTGAGACCTGTCATAATTGCCTGTCAGGTAAGATAGCCGCTTTTTCTCTCTCTCTCTCTCTCTCTCTCTCTCTCTCTCTCTCTCTCTCTCTCTCTCTCTCTCTCTCTCTCTCTCTCTCTCTCTCTCTCACTCTCTCACTCTCTCACTCTCTCTCTCACTCTCTCACTCTCTCACTCTCTTTCTTTCTCTCTCTCTCTCTCTCTTTCTCTTTAAAGTTAGATACTTTAGATTTATACTTTCACATATGCATAAAGAGCTTTTGACAGATTAAAATAAAGATACTAATTCAGCTCAACATATAAATGTTCATGATTCTCAGTCTTGCAGTTGAACAAATTTCAAGTCTGTTCTGGTAATTCTGTCCATATTAAATTAAATACTTGACCACCAGCTTTTGAGAAATTGTTGGTGTACTACTGTTAACAAAAACATGTCCTTGCTATCCAGTCACAGTGTGAGTTTGAAGCACTTAAGTTTGAGTTCATGAAGCAACAGGAGGAAATGTTTTGGTCACTCAATAGAAGTTATATTATGAAGAATGCATGGGGGTGATGGGACAGGTGTATAGAAGGTAGATGATGACATTAGGGATTGGGAGTTAATTTACCAGATGAGAAAGATTTTATATGTAGGACCAGTACTTATAGTCTTGTAGAATAGCTTTTGCACATAGCTGTTGCACAAACATTAGACTTACAATACACTTTTTTTTTTTTTGTATATAATAAACCCTCCTTAGTTCCAACATTTGGTCTGCCCATTCAATAATTTTTATGCCGAAAACTTTCACTGGCATTCTGTTACCTAGTCATGCATACTTCTGCATCTAGGAATACTATAAAAATAAGTTGATTCAGTAGTAGTTCTCATTCATGAATTTCTACATCACAAACCAGAGAGAGATGTGAAGAAATATTGGGAAAGATGATGATTGGTGTGGCAAGTTTCTGGTTTGTCATTTCTTGCGAATTTTGTATTTGAAACCAAATACTGTATTACTAGATAACGAAGTATTGCGTAATGATTCAGAAAATACATATCTTGAGTGCTTCAGTTGTACTACAGCCAGGTATTTGCAAAACCAAACTTACAAGCTTCATAACTCAAGCTCCAACGTAGTATTTTAGGGAAGTGAGAAAATGTCTCTAGCAATATGTCCTCCAGTGATAACTATCCAATGATTATTTTGTCAATTACAAACCAAGTAAACATGGAGAATTTGCAATTTGATGATCAACTCACTTCCAAACAGACAGACAGAGAGATAAACAGAAAGACATAATGGAGAAAATTGAGTACTACATCTCTCTCTCTCTCTCTCTCTCTCTCTCTCTCTCTCTCTCTCTCTCTCTCTCTCTCTCTCTCTCTCTCTCTCTCTCTCTCTCTCTCTCTCTCTCTCTCTCTCTCTAGTTAGATAGATAGATAGATAGATAGATATTGAGAGACAGACAGACTGACAGACAGAGGCAGAGAAAAAAAAACAGGCAAGGAAAGTATGATGAATGAATGAGCCATGACATTTATTGTGCAACCATTGCACTTCCTACAGCTGCTTTATGAACTGAAATTCAAGTGTGTTAAACTTATGTGCTAGCTGGGTAGAGATGTGCCATGACATTTATTGTGCAACCATTGCACTTCCTACAGCTGCTTTATGAACTGAAATCCAGGTGTTTTAAACTTCTGAGCTAGCTGGGTAGAGAAGTGAACTTTTATTTACAATAGTATATGGTATATGTATACATTTATATATGAGGCTATGCATTTTCTTTCATATACACTTAGGCATGTTTTTGCCTGTATATGTACACTTATATGGAGAATATATCATGTCTTTATGCTTTTCCATTTACAGGTAAACCACCTCAAGTGACTATTGAGGAGACACTCTCAAAAAAATTAAGAAACGATGTAGTTAGGCCTTTCACATTTATGTGTTGTGGAGTAATTGTGAAAACAGAAGGTGCCATTTTCTGGCATTCTGATGAGATTACGCCCGATGCTATTACTTGTGGTGGTGATATTGAGAATCGGGCAGAATTCAAATTAGCAAATGGAGAGGAAGTGGAACTGGATCAGTTTGAAGACATTATTGTAAAGTGTGAAGATGACACATGTAGAGCAGATGTTGATACTGATGAAGCTAATGGGATCAAGGTTTTGGCAGAAGAAGATCCACTTTCTCTGGGTGAAACACATGATTTGCCTACAAACAATTCAGAAAATGTAATCTATACCAAAGACAGTTTCAAAAGCCAGGCAGAGTCATCACAGAACTTGAGTAATAAGGAGTTAAGAAAGAATTTACTTGGTATTCTGAGTCAACAGGATACCTTAGTTCAGAATGATACTCTTGAACAAAGCAGCAAGATCAGTGGATCTTCAAAACACACAAAATATCCAGACACATTTACGTGTGAGTTTTGTGGTAAAGTGTTCACAGGAAAAGAAAGAGCGTATCAGTTTTATTATCATAGAAACAAGGAACATACACATGAGATGCTTTACAAATGTGATATTTGTTCTAAAGGATTTTGGGGTGACAGGGAGTTGCTGGCTCACATGGCAGGGCATAGAGATCCAGGTCACATCTGCCACATCTGTGGGCAAAAGTTCAATGCGAAACGGAACTTGAAGGCACATTTGTTAATTCACCAGCCTCTGCGAGAACACACATGCCGATTTTGTGACAAGTCATTTAGAAGAAAAGATCACTTGCAAGTCCACGAAAGAATTCACACAGGAGAAAGACCCTATCAGTGCAAGTGGTGCGAGTCAGGCTATCCGCAAAAACGCCAACTAGTTCTGCATCAGCGAAAGTGTCCTATCCAGAGAAGGCAAAATTTGAGATATGTAAATCCTGTAACTTAAGGAAAAAAATATTGTAAATGCTGGAAAGAGAGAGAGAGAATGAGTGAGTGAGGGAGTGAGTTGAGTGAGTGAGAGAACGAGTGTGAGGGAGCGAGGGAGTGTGTGAGCAAGTGAGTGTGAGTGAGTGTATGAATGAGAGTGTATGCGTGTGCGTGCGTGAGTGTGTGAGAGTGAGCAAGCAAACTATCGAGCATGCATGTGTGTGAAGCGTTATTCAGTAGCTGTTACTTGTTGGTGTAATAATTACCTTTTTTTTTTTTTATTGCATGCTCCTGTCTGTCACTGCTAGATGGCAACAGTTTTGGCCAGAATTCATAATAAAATACTTGTCCATGAAAATATTTTCTTATCCTTAGAATGCTTTTCTTGGTGAAGTGCTGCATGAATAAGTTTACATTTGCAATCTTACATATTTACAGTACGGTAAGGACTAATTACTAATTACTTTTCAGAATTAGTAATGATTGTTGCATACATTTCTTTAGCAAATAACTATTCTGAAGATATGTACAAGTGTATTGAACGTCGTTATTGAGTTACCTAATTTTAATGTGACAAGTTTTTTTTCTTGTGAGGATAATATTATTTTCTCCCTGTACTTTGAACCTTGCCTATGGTATTTTGCCACAAGATCTATTTGGGTCTGAGTAATTTTATTCCTTTAGATATAATTATTTTTAATACATTTTCCTTGTTACAGCAGGAGGAAATTAATGAAAATATTATGTAAAAATTAAGATACAGGTCAATAAAAATTTTGAAGATTTTTAAAATTTACTTTGTTCTAAGAAAACATTAAAGTAGCTTTACAGTAGTTATCTTCTTGTATGACAAAAGAGCTTAGCAACTAGAAATTCAGTTTTGGAACTTGGGAACAGAAATATGCAAAGCTCTTCACAATAATTTGAACTGAAAAAAAATCCACATATATCTATTTACAGCTACAATCTTCCTGGTTTGATAACAAGCACAAAAAGCGTGAGATTGATATAAAATAAAACAAAAAAGGTGTTGAGCACTCCGTAACATAGTATTGTCAGCATCCGTATTTTGAAATAATAATATCCTATTAACTGACACCTTAGCTTTTTTCTATTAAATACCATAAGCAGGAAAAAGGCAATGTTACTAGTATTTTAGTGAGGGCTTTTTATTTATTTGTTTTAACAAAGGGAAACATCCATTTACAAGGTGATTATCTATTAACCATCAAATTACCAGAGAAATACACTTCTACATTCAGAGTTGCCTCACGTTTAACAAGACAAATGAAACCAAAAGTCATTCTGCTTTTTGCTGAACTTCAGCTACGAAGTTAAAAGAAAAAGTGTTCAACTAGAAAAGTTTCTGCAAGTTCAGCTCATTCACAATAAAAGGCAATTGTGTGACATGTCGGACATTGGTAAGCATCATCTTAACTGCCAACAGTAGTATTCTCTTTGTTTGTCAGATTAATAACCTCTCTTCTCCAGCATACAGTATAAAAGTAGTTGATCTTTGTGTAGCATATGAGCTTGCAGCTTAACTTCAAACTGGACCAACGTCAGTGTAGTTAGTGCTAGGCCTAAAAACGTCTCACTAAAGCAAGGATAATTATGGATGATGCACAATAACAAAAACTGTTCAGTCGTTTGTGTATCCTTTCATATCCTGAAACATCTTAGTTCATTTAACTAGTGTCAAGAAAAGATGCCTTTCTTTATTTGTCCTAAAGTCTGGTGTCACTTAAACTCACTTATATCCTTTTAATTTTTGCAGCTTTTTAAGTACAGTTTTCATTATGATATGAAAATTAAGATAAAAGAAAAGCCATTGATGCAATGACTCCAGCTGCCTGTAGTAATCTGACAATTTGAACAAGCTTTTTTTTTTCTCTCCCTTCTAATTTTGAGTGATATTTTGTGTTCACAAAAGTAGGCTTCTGGTAAAATACATATTAATTTTCAAAAAATACTAATTATGCAGGGTCTTGGGAAAAAATGCAAAATCTGCACTTATTCATGCATCATACTGAAAATCTTGCAATAGATGGGTATAGATGTTTGAAAAAGTTGAGACATCATAAAACAATTCTTTTATTCTCTATATCCATACGACTTAAACAGCCAACCTGACTTGATTTCATCCCCACATTTATCTGAACAGATTTTTTCCCCATACATAACACTCAGTAAACAAACACCTTTGATCATCTTCCATTTCTTTATCATGAAACAAAGTGAATCAGCTGCTTAACTAGTGTTGCAGCCCTCTACAAGTTGCTCGGGGAATAAGGGTCAAAGACTCAACAAACCAAAATGCCTAATTTTCATCTACTTAATTTTCAATTTGTATTTTTTTTTTTTTTTTTTTTTCTTATTTCAACACATAACCATTCTGAGGAATTGAAATCGTCCAAGGCTTACCTTGGTAGTACAGCTGAATGTTGATAATTGGGACTTGTCAACTATATTACTTTGGAAATTATTAGGGGCAACATTTTATTACTGTATTGACATACCTATTAATAGCACCTTGTTTTACTTTATTGATGGGTCCTGTGAACTAATATAAGTAATGGTTTTAAATATCAAACTCCAATGTGGTAAAGAACAGTATACTTTATGAATCATACTATCTGTACAATAAAAGAAAAGAAAAACAAGGTTTAAAAAATCTGGACAGTATGTATATAATGTTCAAAATACAGTAATAATTCCTATGCTATAGAGTTGTATTTTTGGATTTAAGTAATATGAACTTTTATTTTCCTCCTAATAAATAATAATCTATCAAACTTTATTCAAATACACCTAAAAGCATAAAAGTTTCTTTTTTTTTTAGGACAGAGTAATTTTTTCCAGTACATTATATAGTAGTGTGTACTGTTGTTTGTTTATACTATATTAATTCAGTTCTTCACAAATGCAGCCAACAGAAAGCTAATGGAAATAAGAGAGTTCTCCACAACAACCTCAAGATAACCAACAGTACAACTGTCCTTTGTAATTTAATAAAAACATTGCTTTATGAGCAACAAAAATAGAAATGTGGTGGCACTTTTTTCTTCATCTAGTCTGCCATTTTTTTCTACTTTCTGACAATACCTGCATCAATTAAAGTTCAGACACTCATGTTGTGCAGTGTAATTTACCTTGGAATGAAGACAATCAACCTTTGCTTCATAGTACACACATTTTAATATGGCTTTCAAACGCAAGTTGTGACCAACTAATTCATACACACAAAACATTACCATTTAATAAATAAAAAGATATATATATGCACACACATATATATATATATATACATATACATCTACTTATATGCATACAAAAGCATTTATGTATATATATATATATACACACAAACGTATATATACACATATACAAATACATATGCATATACCGTACATGCACATAAATACATTCCAGACAAAGCTCCAAACAGATTGGCCACACAGATCAAGTTGAAATAAACCTAAAAAAAAACAGTGAATTAAAGAAAAATTCTTAACATTGAATTCATCTCTTTTAATCAGCAGTCCTTACAATATGAAACATATTGACTGCTATTACACACAAAAGTTGTTATATATATGCTTTTCCAATTTTAGCAGTGTATTCCAATTCTAACATTCCTGATTACTTGTGTATATATATACACATACACACACATATATATACATGTATGTACTTGGGTGTGTATATATATGTATATATACATCTGTATGTATGTGCACAAGAATTTTCTTCCTTGAGTAAACTATGTTGTCAACCCACTTGAGATGACATTAAGTTCTACGCATTAATTCAGGGATGTTTCACAAAAGTTTTTGAAGATGTAGATATAACCCATTTAACAAAATTCAACTGCACACATAAAAGGCTTACAAGTGAGGATGTATTTCTCACTTGCAAATCGTCTAGAGATTTATGCTTTTTTTATATCGAATGTCTTGGGCTGTGATGAGCTAGTCATGCAAGTGAGTAATGAAGATGGACCCTAAATGCTTAAAATATATCATGGTTTAATAAATTGGGAATAAACATGCAGATGGATGCTTTTATGCCTCTTTTTTTTTCCCAAAACAAGAGAATAAATTCTCTCTTTCTCTCTCATGCAATTCAGAGATTCTGACTCACTATATCTTGCACTCTGTGGTACAAGGGCACAAATTTACAGGCTGCACATACAACACTGGGTGAAGTGGTATCTGGTTAATAAACCTACTGATGGGACTCTGGCAATTAGGGAGAAAAAAGGAAACCTTGCATGTTCTTACACCATCATTATAGTTAACAGGGAGAAGATGACGTCTTATTTTGATGACTAAATGAAAAAAAGAAAAGAAATTCACAATGATCATATATAAAAACTTTTCAGAGGCCCAACAGGTTGGTGAGAAGGCTTGGTGAGGTAATCTCCAGTTGCTCAAGACCCCATGCCTCAATTAAGGTCGTGAGTTTGAGGTTCCTGAGGTTTCATCACTTCCGGCAGCTCAGGGGGGGATGATAAAGGTGTGATATCAAGCGGCTCAAAATCTCCATTTTCCTGCCTGTAAAAGCACAAGTTTGTGTAAACAAGGTCTCATTCCTTTTTAAATTTATCACTGCTCAGTACAAAAGAAAAATTCTGAGTAGATTGCAATCAATAACATACAGCATTTTCAAAATCAACAGAGATTCTTCTCCTCTCTAATGAAAAAAAAAAGGCAAAAGAAACAAAAACAGTAACATATTAACTATTGTTCGTAATGTCAAATTCAAGCAGACCACCACAGTAAATTTTTAGTCTTTTTTTCTGGAGGGTGGGGGGAATGGTAGGGAAACTTTTCTGGTAATATTACATCAAACCATGATGAGCCATGACAACAGTGATTCAGGTCTGTAGCGCTTTATGACAACTACCCATTTGAAATGAATATTCAAATTGATAAATGGGATTTTGCTCTGTGTTTACTTAAAATCCTCTCTCTTCCTCCTATCAGACAACATAACCCATTTTCTACTAGAAATGTGAACTTTAGGAGAAATCAAAACTTTATAACTATCTAAGTTCATAAAACTTGCAGCTAGCCATCTACAAATTTCACTAATGAGATTATTACAGGGTTAAAAAGTTGAGAAAAATAAGGAAGAAGAAAAAAGTTGGGTGGTATTTCAATTGTACTATATCTTTGTAGTTTTCCAATGTCTGAGAGTTCTTCAGCCCCATATGCATTCTAAGCTTTAGTAACTTTATGGCAAATAGTGAACAGATTTTCCATTTACAAAGACCATCCCCATGAATTTCAGTGTAAAACACAATGTTCAGCAGACCTTTAAATATAAACCCTGTTATTGAAGGTTTGAAACTTTTAACCCATTCCTGCCGGGCATGCCATGCCATGGCCACTGTGAGATTACTTGTTGGATTGTTTTCACACATAGATGGCTACACTTGTACTAAATCACCAATGAGCCAGTTACGAGTACCGTCTGTCTGGACCGTTCATCCTTTTCTTTGATTTACGAAATATTTTACGTTATCTTATTTTGCTGTTACTAATGTTAAAAAACATTATAAAATTTATAATGTTTAAAATAAAAATAACACCATCGATATTCGTGGCACTAGTGAAAGTCACGTTTTTCACGCCATTTCATTATCAAGCGCTAACAGACCCATCTGTGGGCAGACATTTTACAAAAAAGTATAGAAAATAGGCACAGCATTTTCCCCATTTTTTGTTAATTTTCCCCGGCGGCAATGGGTTAAAGCATTACTTACACCAAGTTTTTGAAAAAAGAAAAAAAAAAAATTGTAACCATATATATAAACTGCAAATACAATAAACCTAATCTCATTATATGTGAACAGGATTCGGTAAATGCAAAGGTCACTAAAAATGCCTTTACCACTTTTAAAATAAATTTTTCCGTGTAAATGTGATTATAATTGCGCAATCTTCATGGAAAGAAAGTTATCAACCCTTTGCTGCCGGGTAACATGTACTTACATGCTATGGCATGCCTGGACTATATTCTGGGTCACATGTGCATATTTGCCATGGAGTCCCAGGCCCATTTTGCAAGGCACGTATGGTCAAGCTTCACACACTATGGTGCTGACACAAACCCCCGGCAGCAGGGCCCGGGCCACTATGAATGCACCCCGGGAGAGAGGCTTTCACATCGGGAAACCACCCAGTGGCACTGGGTTGACCTGTTTTATATGTTGACTCTGATTTCGGCATCCTGAAGCGCCAGTAGATTATGCTGTCACACTGAGTGATCCTGTATTCTGTTCTGGCTCTATTTTTAAGACTGTATATTGCCCTAGAGATTCTATAGCTCCACCCACCATCCCTCTTCCCACCAATCACATAAATCAGCTAGACTATGCCCCACCCTCTGCCCACTGACAGTCTATGTCACAGGTTCCTCCTCTGTGATCCTACCCTTGTCCTCCATATGCCCCTTTCTTTCTTACTTACTTACTTACTTACTTACTTACTTACTTACTTACTTACTTACTTACTTACACACACACAGAATGAGAGAGAGAGAAAAAGAGAAAGAGAGAGAAAAAGAGAAAGAGAGAGAGAGAGAGAGAGAGAGAGAGAGAGAGAGAGAGAGAGAGAGAGAGAGAGAGAGAGAGAGAGAGAGAGAGAGAGAGAGAGAGAGAGAGAGAGAAGAGAGAAAGAGAGAAAAGAGAGAAGAGAGAGAAGAGAGAGAAGAGAGAAAGAGAAAAGAGAAAGAGAGAAAGAGAGAAAAAGAGAAAAAGAGAAAAAGAGAAAAAGAGAAAAAGAGAAAAAGAGAAAAAGAGAAAAGAGAAAGAGAAAAAGAGAAAGAGAAAGAAAAAAAAGAGAGAGAGAGAGAGAGAGAAAAAGAGAGAGAGAGAGAGAAAAAAAAAGAGAGAGAGAGAGAAAAAAAAGAGAGAGAGAGAGAGAGAGAGAGAGAGAGAGAGAGAGAGAGAGAGAGAGAGAGAGAGAGAGAGAGAGAGAGAGAGAGAGAGAGAGAGAGAGAGAGAGAGAGAGAGAAAGAGAGAGAGAGAGAGAGAGAGAGAGAGAAAAGAGAGAGAGAGAGAGAGAGAGAGAGAGAGAGAGAGAGAGAGAGAGAGAGAGAAAAAAGAGAGAAAAAGAGAGAAAAAGAGAGAGAGAGAGAGAGAGAGAGAGAGAGAGAGAGAGAGAGAGAGAGAGAGAGAGAGAGAGAGAGAGAGAGAGAGAGAGAGAGAGAGAGAGACAGGCTTGTGGGCGTGTGCCCTGTATGCAAGGAATGCGCATCTTTTAAACCATCTAGAGTAAAATCTTAAATCTAAAAGCAATTGCATATTTTTTCTATTTCTTTTTTTATTTTAAGTAAAAGTTTCACATTAAAACTTTTTCTAAAAAAATGAAGTATATTATCTACCAAAAATAGCTCAACTTTCACATAAAGCTACAACAACGGTCAAACTTTGAAAATCTACTCCAGTGTGACATCCCTATGAGATGACAGGCAATGGCCAAGCCCACTGTGAGTTTACTTAATTGTTTTTACACATAGATGGCTACACTTGTACTAAGTCACCAATGAGCCAGTTAGGAGTACTGCTTCTCTCACACTTTCACCCTTTTCATTGATTAACAAAAATATTTTACGTTATCTTATTTTGCTGTTACTGATGTTTATAACATTATAGTAATTATAATGTTTATAATAAAAATAACACCATCAATATTCCTAGCACTATTAAAAATAAGTTATTCCTGCCAATTCAAGGAAAGGTGAAATCAGGTAAGGTCACAACATCTATTAATTGATTACTTTGTTGCTAAGCATTGGCAGAGCCATCTATGTACAGAGACATTTCACATAAATATAAAAAATGAGCACAGCATTTTCCTTATTTTTTAGTAATTTTCCCCAGCAGCAATGGGTTAACATCTTCACAGTGTTCCTTCCCCCCCCTTCTGATTTCAGAATGAATTCCAATACATAACATTCAAGTGCAAGAACATATATATATAGAGAGAGCACAAACCTTAAAAAGGAAAAACATTCCTATACAAATATGACCGCCAAGAAGTAAATACACATCTAAGGCTACTTCATGAATATCCATACAGTTTTCTTGACTCAAAGTCAGCGCGCCGACTTTGAGCGCGCGAGTACAGGACGTCAACCCGAATCACTGGCTCGCCACGCTTTGGCACGCCGCCGGTTCGTTTGGCTGCACGCCAGCTTTCGAGCGGTTTGTTTACACGCCTATCGGCGTGACCCAGCACCAAGGGGTTAAACTTATTGCAGTACATGTAGTCATGTAGTTACTGAAGAGTCAATTACGAGGCCTACTTGACCTCACCATCAGGCCCATTCCTTAGATTTTTGGAGGAAATTTTGTTTTTACTACTATTATAATTGTTGATAAAGTTTAAATATCAATAATAATGATAATAAAATAAATGTCAATAACACTGATAATCATAGTAGAAACAAGACATTTTCACAGACAACAAAAGAACAGGGTAAATAGGTGAGAGCAGGTATGCTTAATAGTTGGCTCCTAATCTATGGGTCAAAAGTAAAGACAAAGGCCACAAAATATGGAAATGATGGAAAGTAATGAAGCCACCACAGTTAAATGAAAATGAGATTCTAAATCTTCCAAGAAACACATTATATGCATTAAGAAAGTTTCCATTAGTTTCCAACAGACATCGCATACAATTTTATATGTAGAAATGAGCACACATATTAAAAGTATATCAAATTTCTTGGGATCCAATTTAACTCGGCATAAACACAAAAAGGAAAGCTACTTACCTAAATACAAGTGCAACAGTAGCAGGACTCTGAGCTCGTGCTGTCTGGGCCGATAGATTGTAGTCGCTGAGCTGTTTGTCGTCATCAAATATTTCTGTCCCACGTTCGTTCATTAGCTGCTGGTTCTCGGGTTCAACTTTCATAATTCCTTAGGAGAAAATACCATTGAAAGAATACTGAAACAAATTCTTAAACTATGGTTGTTTATAAAGCAACAACCAATCAGAGGGTAGCCTAGACACCTTTGTGGCAATATTTTCATAAAACAAATAAAATAAGTGCACTCAGAATCAGATACCTAGATGTATGTATACATGCACTAAGAATCCGAGCTTACACAATGGTGTATTTGTAGATACATATAGTCCCCTACTTAAGAACATTCTATTTATGAACATTCCATACACACAAACAAAATTTTTTAAGTACTAAAGTCCAAAAAATTGTTTGAAAGATGCTCGCAAACTTCAAATTTCCCGGGCACAAATATAGTTCAAGAGTCTGGTACTGTATAAGGTATGTTGTACTTATTGGGATTTATTTACAGGTATTCTTAATGTAAACAAAACTTTAAAACAATGGGAAAAAGGTAATGGAGACCCGACTTCCGACATACAAACAAATCAACTTACAAACAGCCTCTCGGTCCCCATTATGTTCGTAAGTTGGGGACTTACTGTATATTCACTTTCCGTGAGTCAGATAAATATTTGTCTTGGCTTTGGTAATTACTTCATGTTATTGGCAAAGTAGAACTTAGATTATAATCATGATAATATTTATAATCCCTGAAAATTGCATATTGTAATATAGGTTTTTATAACCTAAAGCTTATACATCATTATATCAAGTCTACCCTGTCTACATACCTTCCTTGAACTGGTGGGAAAAAAAGTGTAGGTGCACAGCAGCTTTCACTTACTTCAGCTCTTAGCCTGTATTGCATCTATTTTTATAATTCTTGTACTTCTATATATTTATATGTGGAGAACTTACACATATACAAAGTTATTTTCCTCCCCGTAACAAGATTCCCCTAAAATTAACAAGATGTCATTCTTCTTATCACATAAATCTAAAAATAATCTAGAAAAACATATAATTCAAAGATACAAACTATACTTTAAAGCCTAGCCATGTAACTCATTCTTTGCAATCGGGTGACATACAGGACTCAAACATGCACTCAATCACTTGTGTGCAATCTTACATGCACTCAACCACTCATGTGCACTCACACAAATTCATTCACTTGTGCATAAACTCACTCCCTCACTCAGTCTGCTTGCAGTCAGTAACTTAATTTTGCAATTACTTTCAGCTTTAAAGTTTTAAAGCTGAACAATTACATACCTTGTATTATTTTCTTTAATTCCCTGACTGTTGTTGTTTCCTTGGCATCTGTGAAGATTGTGGTCTTCTTCCTCCGTACCATCAAAAACACATCCTGTGAAGCATTAGGATAATCATTTAAAAATCTAAGAACCCTCCACTGCTGCATCAATCACTTTTGGCTTGCAATAAATCTGTCAAAATCAAATTATGTGTAAGAATACACAAACAAACTAAGAAGCAGTACATACAGTTAAAATGATTATTTCATCTTTCTAAGGAGAGATTGAGAACAGTCTAAGTCATCCACTGCAACAAATGGCAGAGGCATTTCCATTTATCTCATTTGTTGCTTTGACATATTAGAAAAATTAATATGGAAAAAACTATAACATTTTGTTACTGCCATTTTGGTTTATTTGAGTCTGACGACAAAAAAATTGCAAAATTCTTCACATTTTGTAAATGGCCAAAATACTAATACAAATCATAAAAAGGTGTTCATGTCCCTGATTAAGCAAACCAACATAAAAGGGGAATAGGAGAGGGAATGGCAGGCAGGGTGGTGATAGAACATATTATTTGCCAATAAAGATGCAGGAAAACAAGTCCACTATTTGATCAACTAAACTAGTACTTTATCAACAGTAATAATAATTTTTTAAAATTCTAGCTCTAACCTAATTCAATTAATTCCATCACTTTCTGCCCAATAAGTTGTGAAAAACATCACACCAATGTTTGCCAGTTTGTGATTAGGACTTTGGCAACCTACCTTTCATTCCCAAAATATTGAGCATGATGTATACACTTGTCAATTACAAAACTCAACTCTATTCTGCCAGAAGATATATGGTGCAGCATCTGTTCTTTAACTGACAATAAATTACCATGGAAGCCTACTCATAAAACAAACAAAAACAAACACACACACACATACGGAAGAAAATGTTAGAAGATTCAACAATCTATCTTTAAATTGATATTTACATTTAATGTTAATATTAGATATTTGCAATAACACTAACTTCGTTGAAATTTACATATAATATGCAAACTTTCTTGCTTTGATTGTATTCTCAAGTACTGGTAAATGGTCAGAAGACCTACACACATTCAATCATGACAATATTGGTTGATTCCTCTCACCCTCTATTACTCATGTTATATTAAGTATTATACCATGGATAGCCCCTTATACTTGGCCCTTATAGTAAGAGAGGGCATGAAAATTACCAGGGAAATTGCAGGGTCAAATATGAAAGATATAGACAAAGTAGGTCATTAACTCATTTAATGTAGCGAGATGCAACCCGCTTGACCCACCCTCGGGGCGCTGCCGTCACTCAATGCTTGTCTTTGAACTTGGAGAATCTTCCTGCTCACTACATGGTGTAGCACAAGACTAATCATAGAAGGTCTTTTGAACATTTTCTGCATCAAATCATCTAATGCTACCATCTCCAAACCCCCTGGAATACAAGGAATCCTTGATGCATCACAAGAATACAGGGTTGTACCCAAAATAACTACAACCTATGAAATGAAGAGCCAAATATACTATGTAGTAAATGGGGTATAGCACCCCCCCCATCATCATGATGCACAGCTAATCACAACAATACCAGGATTAGATAATGTAGGGTGTAAAGATAATTTTCTTTCGTATTTCATCCCACATGTCAGTCACGGGCACTATCCTGCAATGAACACATTGTGTGTGTTCCAAGTGGGGTCAGGAGTGGCAGCCTCCACAAGGGGAGAAGGCACAATCCCCTGCACTTAATCAATGTCTTGTATATAGTTGTACAGATAACTTTCATGTCTTCCCCCACCAACAGCCATCCAACCTTGGCATTATTATTAACTGTTTCATATATTCACATTGTAACAGGCCTGAATATATTGTTTTCCTCTGCAAATGATACAGGTGAAAGTATTTGTTGTTTGAAAAGGGGCCACACCCTTCTCAGACTAGGTCCCCATTACTCTAGTTACTCCTGGGAATCCAGATTGCCCTATGAACCAAAAACCTTCCTAATCCAGAGACTGCCTCCAGACCTCCACCCAATTGTTGCATTTCCCTACTGTGGGCTTTGCCCCTCTCAACCCTATTTTCTTCAGGTCTGACTTTCTTTGCCTTGCAGATTATTTTATGTATCAGTGAGTGTAGTTTTTCCTTTTTTTTGTGAAAGGGTCATTAAATTTCCTTATAATGGTGCAGCCATTATGCAAGCATAAACTCAAGCATTGTGTTGCACGCCTTATTATTAACTTACTCTGTCTATTACAGCCAAAGTTTCCCTTTACCATATGGCTGTATAGGTCTGAAACCATTCCCATTTTTCCTTCTATTTTAAACGATGCTGATGGGCCACATCTACTGGTGTCATAATAAACCGCTCAGTCTGCGGGGTATGGCTGTACACCGTGGCAACATGCCCAAGAACTTGGAGCGGGACATTCGGCTTGATGTAGCGGACTCCCGCGCCCAAAGTCTGCTCGATGACAGAATTTTTATCTATTTTCCTTATCCATTAGTAAGAGGTTAACCCACAATTTCCCTGGTAAACCTTCATGCCCTCACCTACTATCGTGGCCAAGACTGCAGGGTAAAGGGAGGTTTCCAGCGATGAATTCCTAAATATATAGAATGTAGAAGGTGAGAGGAATCTATTGATAACCCTATCGTCATGATCAGATTTGTGACGGTATTCCGAATATTTAACCTCACTATATTCTTAATCCCACAGTGATGGCATTATAAATCTCAGCGTCATAGACTCTGGTGATTTGTGGCAACCATCCAGCCTCTGGGCGTGGGAGTCCCTCTCGTGTGCTCTAAGGCATCACCACACATATAGCCTTACCCAGCAGATTAAGTGGTTTGTTATGAGGACTATACACATACCCTGGCAGTACCGGGTAAAATAAAATTGTAGATAAATTAGTAAGCAGTATGGTTTAACCCAATGGTGACGGGTTAAGAAAACTAAAAAAAAAAAAAAACTCCACACTCTAGTGATCAATGGCACCATGCCAACTTTGAGCGCTGGAGTTTGGCACATCAAGCCGAATCACTGGCTCGCCACGCTTTGGCACGCTGCTGCGGCGTACAGCTGCACGTCACATTTCAAGCTGTTTGTTTTCACGCCTATAGGCGTCACCCGTCATGAAGGGGTTAATCTTTAGTGTATGGGCACACTAAGCTAGGGCAAACTGAGTATCATGTTCTTGTAAAGGACAAAGAGTCAAAGTCGTCAGTACATAAAATAACTTGCAGACACGAACGGCAGTGCCACAAATTGAGGAAAAAGATCACAGGAAGCACAGCATGTAGCCTGAGTCTACTCAGTGCTCACGAGTTTCAGCTCTATCTTGCAATGCATACCAAAGTAAAGATAATGTTCCCTGGGAGGTGTTGGGAGAGAGAGAGCACCCCCCCCCCCCCATCAACTCTCCCTTCGCTCAGGCAGTGTCCAAAGAGTAAACCCAGTCAGGGCATCTTAGATTGCGGAATAAATTTTGATAACCACAGCATGGAATATAGGCCACAAAATCACATGACCATTCAATTATGCTTTATTTGTGGCAATAGTCTAGTGAAAATTCAACCTTTCTGAATTTATTGGTAATTCCAAACCAGACCACGGGACAATTTGTTTTATTTTCCTATTATGGATCCTTTACAATCCAAAAACTTAAAATTCAAAAAATAAAAAGGAAAACTCACTGGTGGACAAACAAAGGACACACAACAAAGCAGACAATTACATTTTGTGGAAACTTCGGTGCGACGTCATTTTCGACAACATTTCCCGGAAAAGAATTTAAAGAGACGAAGGTTTACAACAATTATTTGTTTTTTTGATTTATTTTATGGTTTTGGGGTTAAAAACTCGATGCTGGTGAACATGCGTGGTTTTCGCAAGATATTATTAAATCATCTTTATCAACCCTTAGGTCTGAATGATTCTGAGAGTATTGTCAATTATTAATAAGCTAATATTTTTCTTCTTCTAATCCAATATTTAATGGGTAAAAAATCAATGTTTATCTTCAGGATTAGTGTACTAGAAAACGGGATAAATGCGGATTTCCCAAGAATGAATGCGCGTTGCGGCGGCTTGGACAGCACCACTTTGATCGTTGGCATCAACACATGCCAATTTATCGGTTTTTTTTTTTTTTTGAAAAGACCTGGTGCTTTCACGTTAAATTCTACCGTCTGCAACTTCTTAAATGTCATTTAAAACACATTAAATCGCAATTTTCAATTTACAATTTACAATTTACAATTTACAATTTACAATTTACAATTTACAATTTACAATTTACAAGGGAACCCCCCCAAGACAATTTACAATTTACAAGGGAACCCCCCCAAGACACACACACACACACGCACCCAATTTAAGACCTGGTGCTTTCACGTTAAATTCTACCGTCTGCAACTT